TTTCGTACTGTTAATCAACGTTGTACCCGTAGACACACCTGCAGACGCGCGAAACAATGAAGGAAATCGGACATTAATCGTACACGCGCGCGAGGCAGAGAGTGGCACACACGTATTATAGACATATATCATATGGGTATGTTCTCGAGTGTGCGGGGAGGGGAAAAATCGGTGGGTAAGCAAAATTGGTCGCTCTGCTCGTTCTACTTCCATCTGCCTCGGCACGAACGGTGCTGTTGCACGGCACACATATATCTATGAAACACGAAAGACAAAACACACACATTTACCGCACACGTATAGGATATACTCATGAGGATTGGGCTGCCTATTAATAGAAATTAAGTCGTGTGTCGTCTCATCCCCACACACACACACACACACATACACACGTACATACACACAAAAGTGTCTTTCTAATCTTCTTTAACTACGCCAGGCGAAGTTCGTTCAGTTGGGCGCTAATGTTTAGACGATCCCTTACACACCAAAAGCGCTCGCGGTGTACATATACGATAATAATATAATTTTATATACACGCGATCGAAAAAGTCGCGCACGGTGCAGTTTTGTATATATTAAAAAATAAAAGTGTGTGTGTGTGTAATACGTAGGCCCGGAAAAACATGAGGCACCGAGTGTCGTCGCTCCAGGTGCCCAGTTTTAATGATAAAATAATAATACACGAGAGTGCGAGAATTATCCTCGTCAGTGGGATCGTCAGTGACAGCAGTGGTGTTGCGATAATAAAGTCATAACAGAGAAGAAGAGAGGGAAAAAAAGCAACATCGTAGTGTCGTTTGCAGTTTTATCCATTTATAACCATAGGTACCTATATTACCACAAATGATATTACGTTGTGTACGTTCGAATTTTATTCATGCAAATTTAATGACGATCAAGATGATGATGTTGGGCATACGTGCAATTTTGTGTGCGTGCGCGCGGAGGTGTTGCTGCATTTTTTGGCCTCGTGCGTGCCACTGCCGCCACCGCTACCGATGTATCTGGGTCGGGCGGTTTAAAGTCAGCGCTCGCGATTGATGCTCGCGATTACACCCACGTAGTTTGCGCTGTGGCGCGGCGCAAAGTGAGGACACATTTCGAGCTTCGATGACATTTTAATTTTTTCCTCGTATGCTTTTTTTTTTAAAAAGGGATGATGGAATAAAAATGTAAAAAAAGGCAGACGCACGGCGCTCGCGCGAGGTTTAATTAATGGTTTTTGAATCGCACACAAGAGCGCGAGCTTTTTTTTTTTTTTTTGCTCGCGGCGTCTTTTTACGACTGTGTGGAGTACGCAGCAACAGTAGTAGCAGTAGGTACATAGCCTTGAGTTAACTCCACGCCGCGAGAAAGAAAAAGAGAGAAAAACGAGAGAAAGACACATGTTCAGGAAGATTATTAACCTACATATTTGCCGGAGAATTATTGCAGCGCGCCGCGCGCCGTTCAGCTCTATGGTTCCGCGCACTGCGCGCGGACCATTTCTAATTCGCAACAAACGACGCGACGTGCCTCTATTATGTTCTTTCTCTCTGTCTGTTTAACTCAGCATCCTGTTGGCTTTGAAAAAAAAAACTAAAAAAAAACATAGTAAACAAAAAGAGTACGTACAACGAAATGATCAATTTCTTCGCGTACCAATGCGCGCGCACGTGTCTTTACGAATACGATACGCGTCTAATAAGAAATTAATGCACGCGTATATTATTATCAGAGGCGCGCGTACATTCAAATGTGCGCGGGATATATGGTATAGGTAGCGATCTCCACGGAGCAATATATATTCAATATAATAAAAAGAGGTCGTCACAGGCCGAATGCCATTAGAGCCGAGTTGCGCTTCCGCAGGTATATGGCACACACACACTACACACTACAGAGCGAAAAGTATATTTTCATATTATGTGTGTTTGCCTATATAGGTTTTGCCGCAGCCGTTGCCGCGCTCACGCTAAGCGAAATATTATATTTATACATACGTGTTTACGTCTGTGTGTGTGTGTGTGAGTTAACTCGCTGCGTCGAGCTCTTTTATATGTATAATATAATGTGTGTGTGTGTGTGAGAAAGTCGGCAAAACGTTAATATTTTAAACGACACGCTTTTCACGCTGCCGCGCGCCGCTCGATTATCATTTGCCATTGTCGAGGATATAAATCGTGAAACACGGGTGCGCAAAAAAAGCTCTAATATCAAGAGTCTATACGGGTTATACCACTCGCGCATATACAGAAGCGGAGCGCGCTGTACACAATCTACCTACTACACCGCGTCGAGATATTAAGAAGAAAAAAAAAGAGAAAGAGAAAGAAACGTTCCGATAATTATTCCTAATTTGCGGTAACAACTTTTTAAAACTCTCGACTGTATACAACGTTATGCTATATTGTTTGTATGTGTATGTGTGTGGCAGCTGTAACAAATAAGTGTGGGAGCGAGATAGCGAAAGAGAGTACGAGAGAGAAAAGGAGAGAAAGAGATCTAGAATTAGAACGCTCGTGACGTGTTATTATACGGCAAAGTCGTTGGCGTATAGAAACAATTTGTTCTAATGATCGTGGAATAAGAGCAGCAGCAGCAGCTCTAACGCATATAGGTATACGTACATGGTTGTGGTGGTGGTATGTATACGGAAATCGCGCGCTACCACACGTTTATTACCTGCGATTCGAGTCTCTTCATTATTTTTATCTTTTGTTTATCCTACATAACTTGCGCACGCGTACTCGTATTGGACTATTATGTTAACGCATATAGTGGATCGTTGAAAAGTATAATAATCATCGTGAGAATGTTACAATTTTTCTTTATCAATAGCAGTTGCACACGTAGTATATACCGTAGATCCGATTGAATAGTTCGCGCAATCGTTTGACAAATTTATTGCCTATCCTATACAGCTTCTGCATCTTCTCTTTTCCTCTTCTTCTCTCTGTGTAGTGCAAGAGTTCACGAATGCGTGCGTGCCGCTCGTTGCGTTGCGTATTAAGGCCCTGCACGCAGATCGTCGACGACGATGGCACATATCCAGTATCTCGATATACATCATTGTACGCGCATTGCCTAAGCGCACATAACGTGTGCAAACGTGCGCACACACACACATACTTATAAGCGAGCTTGGCATTGTCGATTTGCAGCCGACCAGGAGATCGTCTGTTTATATATATCGTCGTTGAACTTTGATGCGAGAGGCCGCAATGAATACACGGATGGATCGGAACTTGAATTTTTTTTGTAGCGACGCAGCGTTTTATTTTCGTTTAATTTGCCAATTTTCCAGGGCGATTCACACGTTACTTTTTTTTTTCGTTCGCCAATTAAAAGGGTATACATTATAAATATAATACGCACTAAAGCGCCGTCGAGCTTGTGTGCTGTTTGTGGTTAAAACACGAGAGGATAGGATAATAATTAATTCGCGAGCGCAAACTCTTTTCTTCGGATAATTAACGAACTTCTCTCTCTCCCTCTCGACAAAAGCTCTCCCAATCATCGACCGTACGCGGCTGGTTTTTCATGCGAGCTGCTTTGCGGGTGCGCGCACACAAACGCGCAGTCTGGCTCTATAATTACTCCGGTCTAGGCAAAGGCTTTGTTGAGTACATATCTCGAGTTGGGGCTAGCTGCACAAGTATAGAGAAAAAAAAGGACTCGAAAAACATTTTCACTGCGCGGTAGCAGAAAAAAAAAGAGAGAAGGAACGGAGCAGATAATTCCTTTTAACGCCGCGCGAAAAACTTTCCTCTTTCTCTATCGCGCGCTCGCTCTTTTACGTTTATAATGATTGTGTACAATGGAGATTGCGTTTTTCATTATTATACGCGGAGGATATAAAAAAAAAATTATACGAGCTAGATTAGGACGGATGAAGAAAAAAAATCGGACCGCGATCGAATGTAAAAATTACGTATTACACGTACATGCGTATAATTGAAAGCGTGTGTGTGTGCGCGAGCGCGAGCGAACCTGTAATACATTTTTTAATCTATAAATAGAAGTGCTTGTGTACGAACAGAAGCACGTGATGTGCACCATAGCAGAAAGGATAAGCTTGAGTACCTGTATACAAGATAGATACGCTGTCGAGTCTTATCCCTCTTTTGGTGCTTCGTTTAATGGGCAAGTGATCTACAAAACTATTAGCCTATGAGTTCAAAGAACCTGTCGTGGCAGATAGCTGCCGCATCGTAGCGCGAGAGCCAGGCCCTCTACTACTAGCAGACGTAGACTCTAATCGTATTACATATTACAAGTGAAATACGCACAGATTATTAGAGTGATTGCAAACTCGACTACATCTTGACCCTCTGTATAATCGTAATTATAATAATCGAATCGTTGACCCATAAACCATAATTTAATTTTAGGATGTTACATACACTTATGATTTTGATTTCAAAAACTTGAACAAGTTTATGACAGTACGACGTTAACGTGGTGATATTATTACAAAAATTAAAATTTTCCCTGTGTAATGTAAAATAATGTAAAAATTCTTTGATCGATATAAAACACTATAATGTCCATGAAAACTTGGCAAACTGCGGTAGAAATGATAAAAATTTTAATGTGCCATGAAACTTAAATTTAAAGCCTTCAAAAAAATTCATGCATTCGGTTTACAACATATTACCATTTTGATTTTTTTTGACCTACATTATTTTAGATACAGTTTCTAAATGTAGAAAATTATAAAATCAAGTTTTGAATTCAGTGATTATCTTCATTTTATTCATCTTTTTCTCTTTTTCCATGAATCAAGATTTTGCATTTGTGCTCGGCGTACTTATTGTGCCAAATTTATTTGTAAAAAAACAATAAATCTTCAAAACTACTTTGGAGAAAGAAAAAGATTATAATGAAGTGTAAAAAGATCTAAAAGCTGCTGCATATGACATAGAAGATTTTATTGTCTGAAAACCATAGTTTGAATTGAAATTATTACGTAATATCTAGAAAATTTCATGTAAAAGAAAAGAAAAAAGGCTTACAGTGCTGCAGGTTTCTAAATTCAATTCTATGGTCGGTCCAGCAGTTAAAACAAAAGGTTTCACAGTCCTTACCATTATGAATAATAACATCTTCCGTATTTTCGCAGGGTAACTTTGACGATTCATTTTATAGCTAGAAAAGAATGATTATTTGCTGAATTGAAATTTGAAGACCAGTAATTTGTATAAAACTTACCAAGTGAACATCAGATCGTCACTTGCATTTTTTAACATTTGACTTGGAAAACAAACAAAAGTTATAGCACACATAGTTACACAAAACGCAAATAACATTTTCGTTGACCCTGTCAAATCTGTTTCCATTAAAATGATCATCTAAAAGATGAACATATTCTAGTAAATGAATAACTCAAATATATCAAACGATTTAAAGCATACCGATGTAGCCGTCAAGACAACAATACAAGTTGCTCCAATTAATATACCAAATATTAAAATGTTACTTATATCATGAACAATATTGAAAAACCTAAATCCATGCGAATATAATGTATCAATTTTCTTAAGCTGTTGCAATTAATTAACTATACTTACTCGATACAAATTCGATGCGTGTCAACAAAATACTTGAGCTGTTCATAAATACATTTGTTTCTCTTCTTCTCATCAACCAAATTTTTGAATTTGTACTCCAAGTACATTTTATGTAATAAATATCTATTAAAAAAGATAGACAATGAAAACTTTACTCAGTTAAGGATAAGTTTTTTAGCCATCACATACTCCAATATACGTATTTCGCCAATAATGTATGCTACACTCAAACATTGAAGAGCATTTATCGCGCTTATCAATAAACCATAAATAAATAATGATGTGAGTTGGGCTGCAAAAATTTGATAAAAGTATTCATCTTCACTCAAAAGCATTTCTGTATGGAGAGGTAAATTTATTTCATGAGTCTGATTTCCTGACAGTACCCTGTTTAAAAAAGACGGAATAGCTATCGGTGATATTCCAAAGCTAGTGCATAAAATAACCATCGCCACTAAAAAATTTCGGATTAAGTCAATTTGAGCATACCGTTGAAAATCTTAATGCTAACCTGCTTGAAAAATGCTAATACGGTATCCTTTTTTCAATGGTTTGAACATTATTGCTTGGGTTTCCCAAGCATTAGTGTCACACATTCGACCCATCAATAATGCACAAGTATGAATCTTGTTAAAATTAATCAAATTTCGTTCTCTTTACTACGCATAATCTTTATATTTGCATAATAATCATTTATGTTACTTACCTTTTCTTTGCATACCATCATGCGCAAATAACAAAATATTATTATGACAAAAGATAGTAGTTGAAATATACATTCAACCATAGTCGAGTTGAGCGTTGGATTTTCTCTTAATATTCCGATGATTTTCAAGATCTTAATTAATGATAATTATTTTAACACATCATGCAGCCAGTGAAATCTTTCAAATACTTACTGTGACAGTGAGTGAAGCCAATAAATACAAACTAATAGAAATGTTTCCAATTATTTGTATACTTCTATTTTGAAAAGGGTATAAAAAAGTAATCTTCATGATTCTCGTAATCCACGTTAACTTTGTTTCCCATAAAGCTTTTGCTGAAATTAAATAATCTTTATTACTGCGTATATTGATCCAAACTTCAGTCGACATGATTGAATTTTTGTGGAATGAAATGAATGTAAACTGAAAAATATTCGCTGTCGTCCCTAGTTTCGCTAAATATTATAAAATCTGTGTTAATACATTATATTATGGTTTAAATCAATATGTACCTTGCGGTATTGAAAATAAATTTTATATTACATTTATTCAAACTTTAATGGTTACGTACACACTCGCCACAAAAGTATACTTTTATAAAATACTTTTATGAAAGTATAAAATGTTAGGTTTTTACTATTAAAAGTTTGAAACTATCATTTTATAGTTTTAATATTAAAAATGTTAACATTTTATACTTTTATCAAAGTAAAAATTCAAATTGTCCAATGAAAGAATTTAAATATGCCTATTAAACTAACTTTTAATCTATGAGATCAAAGACGATTCTGCTTAGCTTCTGCTATCATGGATTTTCAATCTAGTTTCAATTGATTCAAAAAAAAAATTTTCTGAATAACCTTGAGTCAATTTTTTCTGGTTTGTTGTTTTGTTATTCTTTTACAAGATTAAACAAGATTTTTCAAAAAATATTTCATTTTACGATGTAACTACATTGAAATAGCCAACGAATCCCTTTTTGGTCTCAGAGCTCAAAATTTCTTCACTAAAAAATAAAAAAAAATCGCAACCGAAAATTGAGTCACCGCGGTTATAATTGCATTTGGCACGAGTCAGAGACACATCCTCCACACATACACACACATACATACACTTGTCTGCGCGCTCAAACATTACTCATATCGCACTTTTGGCATTAGTACGTGTAAGCGAGACTCTGTACGTAGACTCACGAGCGCACTCGCACACACGTTCTCTAAATATAAATTATTTGTAAACATTGACGCGATTATATTTATCGTATACGTGTACGCGATGTTTAAAATTAATCCCTAATTCACCTACGCGCAAGTGCATACAAAGCCGATAATTCATTGCACCGTTTACCCGCGTATATAATGCGTATGCGTACGCGAGGCCAAACCTGGCGCTAAAATGTCACATTGGCAACAAAGTAGTACTTGTAGTAGTAGTAGTAGCAGCAGCAGTTCGTTTTATATACGCGCGTGAATTCGTACACAAGCTGAAGCGTTATCGAGGGAGAGAGACAGCTGTATCCGCGCACGCGGCTCGCAATATTCGATTCGCGCTACCTACTATATACGTGTCCAGCAGCAGCAGCAGCATTCGGAGCCGCGCAGTGACGTTGATTTACGGGGGAGTACGTACTAAAAGCGGCACGCTGTGCGGGTGTACAACTACGCGTAGTTTTCACGCGCAAAGACCTGCTGTTTGCGCATTTTCCATGTTTTCGTATCTCGCGTTATAAGCGAGAACGAGAGAGTTCGTTTTGTAGGACGCCTCGAAGCGCGTATAAAATTTATGAGATTATCAACCTTCGCTACAGGCTCTCGCGTATAATAATAAATTAGACTTTGAGCTTGTTAAATACGGTAGCATTCGAGAGATAATGATTTAATACTAAATCGTCGTTTTGCTTTCTGCTTCGCAGGTAATGACAGAGAAGACTGTCGGATCGCGCTCAAGTCCCCGCTCAAGAAAGGCCGCTGCTTCTTCGACGGCCGCCTCGACGTCGTCGTCCAGGAAGGCTGCTGCCCGTCTTCTTTTAATTTAACTCCTCCCTCGTCCTTATCCCCTTGAACCCGTACTCTCGCGCGCACGACCCACCACGCAATCTCCATTATCATGGATCATCGCAAGCAGATGGTCTCGCCCGAGGTGGCGATGGCCAGCGACGCCTTCGACCAGTTCTGCAGCGCCACCACCCTCAAATCGATCCTCGGCCACTTTCGCCACCTCTGCGACCTGCTCAAGATCAAGCCCACGAACTTTGGCCAGTTCTACCCGAAGCTCAAGTCCAAGCTGCGCTCGTGGAAGGCCCAGGCGCTCTGGAAGAAGTTCGACCAGCGCGCCAATCACAAGTGCTACAATCGCGGCAAGGCCTGCCCGGGCACGCGAGTCCTCATAATCGGCGGCGGGCCCTGCGGCATGCGCACCGCCATCGAGGCTCAGCTTCTGGGCGCCAAAGTCGTCGTGGTGGAGAAGCGCGATCGCATGTCGCGCAACAACGTCCTGCACCTCTGGCCCTTCGTCATTCAGGATCTGCGCAGCCTGGGCGCCAAGAAGTTCTTCGGTAAATTTTGCGCCGGCTCGATCGACCACATCAGCATCAGGCAGCTGCAGTGCATCCTGCTCAAGGTGGCGCTCATACTCGGCGTCGAGTTTCACGAGAGCGTGAGTTTCGAGGCGCTGGTGCCGCCCCCCGAGGACCAGGAGGGCGGCAAGATCGGCTGGCGCGCCAAGACCGAGCCCGCCGATCATCCCGTCTCGCAGTACGAGTTCGACGTGCTGATCGGAGCCGACGGCAAGCGCAACACCCTCGAGGGCTTCAAGCGCAAGGAGTTCCGCGGCAAGCTCGCCATCGCCATCACGGCCAACTTCATCAACAAGCGCACCGAGGCCGAGGCCCGCGTCGAGGAGATCAGCGGCGTAGCCTTCATCTTCAATCAGAAGTTCTTCAAGGAGCTCTACTCCGAGACGGGCATCGATCTCGAGAACATCGTCTACTACAAGGACGACACGCACTACTTCGTCATGACGGCGAAGAAGCACAGCCTCATCGACAAGGGCGTGATCATGCAGGACCATCCGGACACGGCCAAGCTCCTGGCCAAGGAGAACGTCGACCGAGAGGCCCTGATGGAGTACGCCCGCGAGGCCGCCGAGTTCTCCACCGAGTACCAGATGATGGACATGGAGTTCGCCGTGAATCACTACGGCCAGCCGGACGTGGCCATGTTCGACTTCACCTCGATGTACGCGGCGGAGAACGCGAGCCGCGTGATCGAGCGCCGAGGCCATCGACTCCTCATGATCCTCGTCGGCGACAGTCTCCTCGAGCCGTTCTGGCCCACGGGCTCGGGCTGCGCTCGCGGCTTCCTCAGCTCCCTGGACGCCGGTTGGGTCGTCAAGGGCTGGGGCGCCGGCCTCACGCCCCTCGAGGTCATCGCCGAGCGCGAGTCCATCTACAGGCTGCTGAACCAGACGACGCCGGAGAATCTGAATCGGGACTATGCGGCCTACACGATCGATCCGCACACGCGATATCCCAATCTCAACGTGCACTGCGTGACGACGGCGCAGGTGCGCAGCCTCCTCGACACCGACGACCCGGCGACGTTCAATTTGGCGCCCGTCGCCTCCACGACGACCGTCGATCTGCCCAAGAAGCGGCGCAGGCGCGACTCGCAGGTGCACCCGGACACGCTGCTGCACTGGCTCCAGCGACAGGTGGCCCTGTACGACGGCGTGCGCATACACGACATGGGTGTGTCGTTCAAGAGCGGTCTGGCTCTGGCGGCGATCGTCAATCGCTACAGGCCGGATCTGCTCGATTTTCACGCCTTGAAGAAGGACGATCAGGTGGCCAACAATCAGCTGGTCTTCGACGTGCTGGAGAAGGAGCTGGGCATCACGTCGATCATGACCGGCGAGGAGATGGTCCAGTGCGACGTGCCCGACAAGCTCACCATGTTCTCGTATCTGACACAGATCTACGAGGCGTTTCGTGGCGAGATCCCACACATCAAGCATCCTAAATTGGTACGTATTCTTCATGTATAAACAATCGACATTTACAGGAATACAATTGATATGCTAATTTTTTTGTTCGTTATCTCTCTCTCTCTGTACAGGAGCCTGAGGCCGACGACAGGCCTACGTACCACCACCAGAAGAAACTGAACGAGCTCACCCCCGAGCAGAAGGCCCAGATACTCGGCCGGATAGCCAAGAGCGAGGGCTCGACGAGAACGACGAGACGCTCGCGCCACTCCAACGAGAATCTGCTGCTGAGCACGAGCGAGAAGAAGTCCGACTCGATTTCGCGCAGACACGCCCGCAAGCGTCGCAGCAACGAAAAGATGGGCGCAACCGTGGTAAGTTCCTCACATGCATTTTATCGATTTCCTAAGACCACTGCCTCGTACTACTGTGCCGTAGTTTGTAGCTGCGGTCACGAGATCGTATACGAGATTATCCATTGATAATATACTAGTTTTAGGCACAATGAATGGGCTATAATTAGTTTTTGTTATTGTTGAAATAGTTGTACGACTATTTTTATTTCAAAAGATCAATCACAAAGTAAAATGAAATATTTTCGAACTTTATAGTGTTACAGTTTGATAGATTGGTTAATCAGATGACAGATTAAAAAAAAAGCCCGACTTTCATCACAATTTTGTAATTGAATAAAAAAAAAAAAAGAACTCGATGTACTTGTTACGAACTGAAAAACTAATAGACAAAAGAATAAGTAAAAAAAAGTACATTGGACGAAAAAGGACGTGAATAAAAACCGATAGATATTGTTATTAATTTCATTTAGTCCAAGTGGCAGGCGATGGCGTCTTGGATAACCCGAGCATTATTGATGTACACGTTGTTCACTTCTGCAGGAGTACTCTTCATTGCAATTAGCGACGGCACTTATTAGTTGCGAGCTATAATTCACAAAAAAATCAAAACCGCCTACCTCTCTATCACAACGCATCTTTATCTCTCTCTATCTATCACACATTCAAAAGCATAAAAAAAGAATCTAAGTTAAGCTATTTCATATATTTTATTTTCAATGAAAATAAACAAATCACTTATAATCACTTTTTTGCTATGTATAAAACTGATATTAATAATAATAATGCAGTAAGCAAGTTTGTCGCATTCAACGAGTGCTTGAATATTTTACTTATTATATAATACAAAAAATAAAACGCATTATTGTTTGACAATAAATAAAATCTATCAAAAAAAAAAAGGACATATATTTATCTTTCTTTCGACGGCTGCTGTCTCTATATAATACCGTCTTATATCATGTTATCGTCCGTTGTGTGATATGTACGAAGTGTGCCTCTGATATTATAATCATAATACGTCGACCGCCAGTTAAAAGCCTCTTGAAATATTACTGCGCAAAATTCATCTCGATATAGATGCTCTGAAAATCTCGTATTACCGATGCAGTAAAAGTTTTTGTGTTTTTGTTGCATGGCCAGACACGTTGATATTAAAGAACAGTGACACATGTGCTCGTTCGATTAATCGCTTGTGTTGAACGTGTAATTTTTTTCTTCTTATTTTTTTTTTTTTACTCTCGAGCGCTCAATAGTTTAACAATCGACTCGTAGATACTATCATAGATTTGTTTAACACTGAATGTTTTATTTTTTCACTGCGCATTGGTGCGGTTGACTTATTATTTGGTTTTTTTTCCTTCAAATATTATCACGGTGTAAAACGAGAATGCAACTTCTTAAGAACTCTTGTTGTAACAAAATCGCAAAAGCTTTTTAACAAGCATCATCTTACGTAATGCAACAATTATTGTGACGCATAGCTGAAATCATTGATGAATCAGGTTTGTCGATTTTACAATCATACCATGGCATTTTATCACGAGCTTTTTCATTATTTTCATTTCCTCATTTTTTGAATCATATAATGCTTTTTCTTGTACATCAAAAGTGAATTTATTATAAATATGAAAAGAGCAGATTTGAATGTAAAATCCACAAAGCCTCTTTAATAATGCGGAAAATTAAAGGTGTGAAAAGTCGCCTGTTGTAAATTGAAAGCAAAAACAAAAAAAAACTACTAAGCAGGAAAATCTGATATCAATGCTAAAACAAAAAATTCGAACTATACCCCATGACACGCACCATCGACAAAAAAAGGAGGAACGCATGCAGCGTCTTATGGACATCGAGACGAATCGAATCGAGCGCATGTTGCGCCGCCAGCAGCAGCGCAAGAGGCAGACCGAGCAATTCTACAAGAGCTTGCGCATGCTGCAGGCCAACGCCAAGCGCGACAAAGACGAGCCCTTCGAGGATTACTCGATATTTCTCTATCGGCAGACCGCGCCAGATTTCAAGGACCGCGTCAAGTGCCTGGAGCAGAAGATTTTGTATCCAGTAAGCGATGGCAAAAACAATAACAAAACAAAAAAAAAAGCAAAATGCAAGCAGTTATATGCCAATGCTCGAGTGTTGTGATGTGCCAATATTACATGGACTTTACGTAACATCAGCTAAAACAAAAAAAAAATCATAAACAATAAAAATTTGTATTAATCGACAGCTCGAGTTGACGACGAGAGCGTGTGTGTTGGGCGTGTTTTGCAATGCAATTATGAGTGCAGTGTGCGTGCACGACTTGATAATGTGCGATTAATTTGTATAACTTTGATTATTAACCGACGCCATTTTTTAGCGATTTTTAGCCGATCTTAAGACCATACGTCAACAATGGAACGTTGAACTGCTTTCTTCAAGATCAAAAAAATGCAACTAACCATATAATCAACGCCTATCAAGCGAATGAATTAATTCGCTACTCATTACTACTCGCTATATATAATTGACAAAATAACGTGAATCATTAATCGTTTTTTAAGCTTTTTTATTTATCACGTAACGAGTGTTCGTCTTTTTTACAGTGTTTTCGTCTGGAGTGATTTTTCAAGCTTATATTTATTTGTGATAAATTTGATGAATAACCGACTTTTTTCATATTTTTCAGGATCGAGAGGCCAAACTGCACGCCGGTCATCATCGTGGCAGCGTCGACGAGGACTTCTCCGGTAGAATAAAAAATATCGAGGAGAAACTCAAAGGAACTGTCGCCACGGATAAGAAACCCAAAGACTTGTTAAGAGCTATCGGTTCGTATTCTTCACAAGTTTTTCCAGACACCAGTTCGGCTGCTGTGCTGGGCAGATTGGTCAACATTTTTTTCCCCATTTTTTTTTTTTGCCAACAGGTAAAATCGAAAAGACAGACTGGAATGTGAAGGAGATCGAGAAGAAAATTGAAGAGAATAAAATGGGACGCGGCGTGCGCCACGACAGAGTGGAACGAGTGCCAAAGTGGAGCCGGGAACAGGTTGATTATTATTTTTGTCAAAAATAGACTCGCTCTATTGCAAATGCGTGCGCATTAACATTTCAACATTATTAACGCTCGTCGCTCTCCGCTCTTCTCTCTTTCGCAGTTTTTGGCACGGCAAATAAAAATGGAAAAACGCGGCCGCGACCCGATGGAGACCGACAGCAAGTACACGGACATCGACACGACACTGAAAAACATCGATCGCAAGATCAAGGAAGGCAATCTGCTGGGCCACAACAAGGTGTCGGCGATGGCCGAGCAGTTCGCCAGCAAAAATCAGGACAGCGCGTCGGCTTCGAGCGAGCCGAAAGTTCAGAGATCGGTAATTATAATGTGGCAATTGAATAGGGAGAATAATCGCATCACAGCCGCGCCTTACTGCGTTTGTTACACGAATCATTCGCTGTGATTATGCGTACGTGGAGACGTGATTGTGTTGGGCCGAAAAAAGAGGGCGGGGATAATGGCGAGGTGTAAAAGTATGTGATAATTTCATGACTACAAGTTTTTTTTTGGGACTATCCGTTTCTAGTCCATAGATTTAGTAAGCCCCGATCGAATTATTATTGAAAAATTATTTGAAACTTAGAGTTAATGAAAGTTCAATACATCACATACTTACCATTGAAAATATATTTAAGTTTCCCCTGTCAGACCCACGTGTTAAAGACTTTTTTATAAGATAGGAAAAAATACATGTTGTAAGGTGTTTTCATAAAGGTGTCATTATAAACTGTCATTTTTATGTACTTGTAGAAATAGTGTAAAAGTTAATAAATTTTATTGTAAAAGTCATAATCAAAAAGCATTTGCTTCCATGAATATATTTCATATATCATTTGTTATGTAATGAAAAAGTCGTCAAATAGAATCGATAGTCGATTTTTGAAATGAAAAATATATTCTTATGAGCTGCTGAAGTGACCCGATGAATCTTCATAATGTAATCAATGTACCTTCGATGATGGACTGATTTTTATTGTTCTGGTAATATTATTTTTCAATTACTTTGACTTTGTTTTTTGTAATAGCAGTGTCTTCCTAAACCCCTAAAATATGTGGTACATTGTACCACTATTGAATTATGACTAGTCGATCGAACTAGCAAAACTCAATGTTTTTCATTCAACAAACCATCTGTAACTTTAACAAAAGCATCATTTTTTACCGTTTTTAAATCGATTGTATATGAAATGTATTCATTGTCAAATAATCATTTAAAAAATTGACTAAAAAAGTCATTGAATCATTCCATCGTCAGTGTTAAAAAAATAATCATGTTAATGAAAAAACAAAAACACCTGAAATAGAACCGATAGGCCAATCGGAATCAAAGCATGATATTTGTATCATCCCCAAAAACTCTGTGTAACCAGCGTTTGTTCGGTTGCGTTAGATTAACTACCCTAACGTTCATTTGTGTTTGTAAAATTACGAAATTGTATTTTTCATCATTACTTTCAGAACTCCAAAGTGGCGTTGGCGCTGCCTGCTCAAGGTGGTTCAGAAATGTGCCATTTCTGCGAGAAACGAGTCTATCTAATGGAAAGGCTTACTGCAGAGGGTAAATCGTTTCACAGAGGATGCTTCCGGTGCGAGTACTGCTCTACTTCGCTTAGAATAGGTAAATTTACTATTCTTGAGTTTGGAATTAAAATGAATAATTACTATAATAGAATTAACGTTTTATTATTTTTTTTAGGAAATCATACGTTCGATAGAGATAAAAATGGAGGTCGCTTCTATTGTACTCAACACTTTGGTTTGCCTGGAACGATGAAAAGTCGATCTGAAAGGCGGAAACTCGCTCTTGTCAATAAAGAAAACATACCACAAACGTCGAATACTCACAAAACTCCGGATAAAGTAAGTCGTTTTTAGGTCTATTTTACGAAAATAAAGTCAATTATAAAATATTAAATGTTTAAATTATTTACAGCCGAAAACTTCGATAGAAGGTATATCGGGTCTCGATTTGCTCGATCGGGGTCAAACTCCCGAGAGAATCGAGTTTGAAAATCTTGCTGGTGTATCGGATAACGACGACGCGCACAGCATAATGGATGAGGATGAATGGACCGATAGGAATTTCGGCCAGTCCGCCGCTGAAATGGGATCCAGCGACGATATCTCCGATTTGAGGTAAGTTGAGATTTGTAAATACATTGAGTTAAAAAAATTTCTATTCGATTTACAATATCGCAAACTTTGTCAAATTTTTCTAGTGACTCGGAAGACGACAATGAGGTGTACGAAGAGGCAATGGATCAACCCCTCACCACCGAAGGTACTCTGGAGTTGGCGAAAAATTGGACTTTGAGGTACTCGCATCCTCCGCATCCAGCTGCTGGAAATTCCGACACTGGTAGCAACGAGTACGAGGATTCCAGTGACGATTACACAACTTCTGGTAAATTTTCTCAATTTTAACATTGTAAAGTGAATTATTTTATTCTTCAGTACTGTCGTAAAGATAACATTGAATTTGTCATTTCAGCGGAGGAAGACAGCGAGACGGCCACCGACGACGAGGAGGACGCCCGAGCCCGTGAGCTGCGCAAACAGGAGGTATACTTGCCTGTGCCGCTGCGAAACTCCGACACCGAGACCGGCTCCGATACCGAGGTGAAACTTCTTCTAGGAAATAATGTAACGATTGCGAATGGCAACGAAAATTACGACGGCCCACCGATCGATACCACTAGTGTCACGGTAAACGACTCCGATCTAACTAATAACGGTGCTGGTTTCAATCCTAACTTACCCGATCTCGTGACGACGTCGCCGAAATTGAGCAGACGCTCGTCGCGCTCCTCCCTGTCGTCTTTCGCGTCCGCGGAGGAATCGTCGCGTAAAAATTCCAACAGCAGCAAGTCCCTGAAGCTCATCATACCCACTGCCGATCATTGCTGGTTGGAGGTGGAGAAAGTGTTCAATAACAGAGAGATAAGCACCGATCATCCGTTGCTCATGTTGACCGCGCCGACCCCTACTACCGAACGGCCCGGAGACGGTAGTCTGATCGAAGCCGAAAAGTTGACGGTGCCCAAGGAAAAGTCGCCCATAAGAGAGGTCGAGGCTCAGGAGAGTCCAACGTCGTTCGACAATCTGATCTTGGAATTGAGACAGAGAAAGGCGAAGAACAAAGCCGAAGCCGAGAAGGAGGCTTTGAAACCCCTGAACACGAGCATAGCCAAAGTTCACATGCAAAAATTCTTCGTCCCTGTGGCTAGCTGCAAGAGTAGCGACGATGAATCCGAAACTCATCACAAGGATATCGAAGAACGTAAATACAACGATGAATCGGGTGACGAGGGTACGGGTTTTGAGACAAAAAAAGAGGAACTGCCGATCACCGCCAGTAGGTTGTCCGATAAAATCGAGAAGAAGGACATAATGAAATATTTCAATGCCAGGAGTACCGAAAAATCCGACGATTTCATTGTACAGAGCGCACCGCAAATTTCATACGCACCCAAAGCGACTAAAGCACTGTTCGATGAAAATATCGACGATATGGAGATCGACATACTCAACGATATCGATTTGAACGACATCGAGGCTGAGTTCGAAGCTCTGGAGCAACAGACTATAGGTAATAATAAGCTGGATCTGTCAAAATCTTTCGAGGATCTTAAGGATCTCGGCATCACCAAGCCACTGTCGGAAAACGACGCCTTGCAGCTCAACGAGTTCATCGATTCTCTCTTCGATCCGAGCATAGAAAATAAATACACCACGGTCGTGGAGGTCAACAAAACTGTCGATAATTCAAGGAAAAAGAAGAAGGAAGAGTCGCCACCGAAGAGCGTCAAGGAACGCGCCAATCTGTTCGAGGTCGAGCAGCACGAGAAATTGATGCGACACACCGACGAAGGGATCACGAAGATCCACGTGGAGTTCGAGCCTAAGCCCGGCATGAGGGTACTGGACAAAGTCAGCTGTTTCGAGGACAAGACGGCTGACGATGTACCTACGAGTGGCAAAGCGATCCTACGAAGAAGATCTACCTCGGCCGTCTCCAGAAATACCACCACGACTGAGAATAATTCGTCGCGGGCGGAGGTAATGATCGCTAAGTTCGACAAGAAAGCGGCCTTGCGTAGACAGTCCCTCTCACCCGCGCCGAAGAGAAAAGAAGTCGTCGTCGAGGTGACGGCTCCAGTGAATCAGAAGACGAAGAAAGTCCTTCCGGACACTGCCCCACGCAAATCTTCGACGCCGAATCTCACCAACTTCAACGTTTTCGATAAGATTAGCAAATTCGAGAACAAAACCAACGGGGACACGACGCCGAATTACCGTCGCAGATCGCTGTCACCGGCAGTGTTGAAGTTCGTCGAGCCAAAAGCTAATAATAATTCAACGGTCAATCGCATGCAGACGGTCGAACGAGCGTCGAGCACGAGAATTTCTAGGACTTCGAAGAAAGAGGAAATGATCAGCAAACCGGTGCGTCAACAGTCTCTGTCGCCGCTGCCGAGAGTGAAAACTGACGGGCAAAGATCATCGAGAAGCCGAGAGCCAAAAGGTGACGTGAAAATCGATGCTCGTCGATTGACGAGAAATAAAGAAGCGAAGAGTAATGAACAAATTGCATTTAGTCAGCAAAGAAGTAAATCAACTAGTCAAAAATCCAACTCGAACTCCCAGCCGAAACCCAGTCAAAAAATCAACTCGAACGGTCAGCCGAAACCCAGTCAAAGTCCGCGTAAAGTCGCCGCGCCACAGCCACGACCCCGCAGTCCCACGATCGATTATCAAATGAGCGAATCGTCGCCTAGTCCGTCGGTGAAGCGAAAAATCGTCAAACCACCGCGTAGCCCCATGGTCGACCATCGTCGTAACGCCTCGACGCCGACGACGACGAAACCCGTGAAACCACCTCGCAGCCCGATCTCGCTGGCCAAACAGATACCCAAGCCGTCCCCGACCAAGCAGTCGATTCAGCGAATCACGGTCAAGCAGCACATCATACATCCGGTCAAAATCGTCCGACTGTCGACGCCTCCGATGCAGAGGGCCCGACTCGATTACGTCGCGCCGAGACGCAGATCGTCGCTGGAAAATTTGCCGAGCCTGTCGCTGTACTCGTCGTCGTTGCAAGCTCCCCCTACCCCGGTGGCGAGATCGCGCAGTTTGCGCAAGGCTCTGAGCATGAAGCTGAAAAAGAAGGACGGCGGCACGTCGTCGGGTCAGTCGTCGGCGGCGCCGTCGCCGCTGCCTCAGAAAAAGCACGCCCTAAGCTCGTCGTCGCGCGTCGATCTCGACTCGAAATCTAGGTCTAAAAACGACAAGTGCGTCGTATCGTGATCGGTGGGCTTTCTTTCTTTTTTCGATCTATGTGAGGCACTATATCTCTGAATTTTTTAGACTACGACCAATGGGTGTTTATTTTTGGATCGTCAACGCTACGATCGTGTTTTCTTCTTCTTCTTCTTCTTGTTTTCTTTTTTTTATGAGTGGATCTCGTTATAGATGTGATATTTCTGATTGAGATTTATAGGAGATGTATATATTGTAATGTTTCGTAATGGGAGGTTTTTTTTACGTATCAATGACGAGAGTTTATCGAGTTGCTTTTTTTTCTTAATCTAGATCAAACGCGAATTGATTTATTCTTTATTACGTTTGAAAAGTCGCGTATTGTACTTTTATATAAATATATCTAAAAAATTTGGAGAGCGTGCCAATGAAAAAAAAAATTATGTAAATGTTCGCCATTGACGAGGCCAGTGCAATCAATTATTACGACATAACTTTACATGAGATTATTTTATCCTTTACTATTTTTATTTTATCACATAACTATATGTATACATATGATTATGTACTTTCCGAAAGACTGTGTGAGAACAAAAAAAAGAGCTAAATAAAACGTTACACAAAATTTGAACTATGGCTGATGGTGATTGTTTCATGAAGCAAAAAATAAGACATTGTATATTCCACTTCCAAAATTATAAATATTTTCATGCAATAATGTCGCTTATGCACGCCGTTGATTGTTCCTCCTCGTGAAAGGAGAACAATTTCGAGAAAAAAGAAATCACGAGAAAAAAGTAGCAAAGGTAAAGCAAAACAAACAAACAACAACAACTGTATTTGAGAATTGCGTGTGCACTAATTTTAAAAGTATGTACTACATTTTTCTAACACCAAAAATTTACTGAAGCAAAGCTAAAAAAAATTTAATACCGTCTGTGTGTTATATAAAAAAATTGTTTACACGTGCATAGATATACATTTACTCGTTTTATCTACTTATTTATATGTATGCATCGATAATTTTTGTAACTGTCTATTGTAATTGTCATTTACCACCAGCCATGATTTTGTGTACATTCTGTGTGTGCTACGCGAGAGAAAAATAGATGTCTGACAGTTTAAAAACTCGATACGGATAATTTATTCTTCTCCCGTGCGTTGTGTCATTAATGCCGTGATTAACGAGGAAAATTCAATTTTTCTTCGCTTAGTCAAAGTGTTTGGAGCGTCTAATTTTTTTTTTCTTAACTCAACTCGTTTTTACGCTTCAGTAATAATCAAATATAACGTGATTTGCGTCTTGTGATGAAATTTTCTCAAATGTTTACCAGTCTTGCGTCCTCGACTATTTTTAATTATGTTAATGTGCAAAATGTTAATCTCTCCTTTGTGTTGTATTATTTGCAGCAAAAAAACAAACGCTTATTGTAAACGCAAATTAACATAGAGAGACCTGAGCGTTCCATAATTCACATAATTTTTTTTTCACACCATAATCATCAAAATTAAACATTACAATTTTTTTTCTCTCGCGATACAGATCGCCTCGGACGATGGATCGTCGACTTCGAGCTCGTCGGAGGAGGACGACGACGACGAGGAGGACGAGAGTATGGAAAATTCGGCCACGGAAATCTCGACGGACTCGGAGTTCGAGCACGACGGCACGACACCCACGCAGTCGAATCACCACCCCTTCGTGCGCAAGACTAGGGGTGATTACGTCGAGCCAAAGAAAGTGCAGATCAAGAGTCGAGTTATCAAGACTGGTACAACCAACGGTAATTCCACGGAGAAGTGCGACAATGGCAGTAATCAGCAGTTGTCGGTGAGTTTTTGAACTATGAATTTGTCTTTTTATTATATTTGAATGGTAGTGATTTGAAATGACATTTTTTATTTTCTATTTTTTAGCGTCAACAGCAGCAGTGCTCGAAGCTCAACGCTCTCAACGAGTCGACGACTTCGCGCTCCATTCGAGACATCAGCAACAACGAGCTCAATTCTAATACCTTAACTACCGTCAATTCCAAAGTCATCAATACGACTCCGCTGATCAATCCGCGCAAAGGCGACTACCTCCTCAATCGTACCCACTCGACGGAGGGCATAGCGTCAAAATTGTCACTGGAATTGAAGAAGCGTTACCTGCTCGGTGGTACCGGTCTGGGTAGTTCCATCTCGAAATCGGGATCAACCTCGAACGTCGACACGAGGTTGAGAAATCTCAGCGACGCCATATCGCAGCATCAGAAATTGCTGAATCCGGCGCCCGAGCCGAGCCCGACGATGCAGGCCTTCTTGCACAACACCGCTACGAGCAAGCTCAGAGTCGCTGCCAATAATCAGCAGGCGCTCTCGCCGCTTTCGCCTAATGCGGCCTTCAACAAAGCCGAGACCAAAAACTTCACATTCGAGAATAAGACTACAAACGATGCCGATCGTAACAATGCCAAAAACGTTCAATTACCGGATTTGATCAAAGAAACGAACAAGCTCAAAGAGCTCGAGATCAAGCTGCCGCCTCCACTGCCGAAATCGGCCATACCCGAGGAAAAACTTTCGCCGATGTGCGAGTCGGCCACGACGGCCAAGAGTCCCGAGGCCACTTCGCCAACGAAAATCGAGACACCTACGCCCACCGTCGAGACGAAGAATTTCGAGCCAGCGTCGCCTCGCGTGAACGGTGCCATCATCGTCAATAATCGTAACGCTGAAAAAATCGCCAGTCCCATCGCCGAGACCGTTATGACCTCCAACGATTGGAGCAGCAAGAAGAATCGAGAGGCGCCTCCAGCCATCGGTAGCGACGAGTCCGATGAAATCGACAGCGATTCCCTGTCGTCGAGCGACGTCGACATCCTCGACGACGACGACATCGAGGCCGTCGTAGATAACAAGCAGCGCAAGAGAGGAGCCCACGTGCCGCCCAAGTTTCAGATTCTCACGAACGAGGACAGTCCGCCGGAGAAGCTCATCGAGGACGTGACGAATTTCGAGCCCGACTCCATCGAGTGCTCGAATCTGCTCGAGGATGTGCGCAGTCTCGAACAGAAGGAGAAAGAGATCGACGCCGTGAACAGTAGCTTGAAGCAACTGCAGCTCGCCCAGGAGGCCGCGGTCGCCGCCGGTCAGCAGCAGCAGCAGCAGCAGCAGCTGCCCAGAAGCGCGAGCTCGAACTCGAGCAGGAACTCGACGACCGAGGAGAACGATCCCACGACGGCTGCCTACACCGAGACCGAGTTCTCCGAGTGGGCGCGCGATGGCGATGATCTCGTCTCCGAGGATCTGCGCGACGTCGAGTACGACATGAATCCCGAGTTTCAGGGCAAAGGCAAGCGGCCGTCGCTGCAGAGCAAGCAGAGCTGCTTGGCCAATGGCGAGGACGATCTCACCGATGTCGAGTTCGATTACTCGCGCGAGGACGTCTGCGTTACACATCCAAACACGATCACCTCGAAGATGCTGGTAAACGGTGGTGACATCGGCTTCATGGACACTGACAACGACAGCAATCTCGAGGAGGACAGTCTCAAGGAGTCATCGAAGCAGGTCAATCGCGGCTACGTTGAGTTCGTGAGCATGAAGAACTCGCCCACAGCCGCCAAAAGACCGACGGACGCGCCCATTGCCAAAGCCGACCGAGAGTACGGCGAAGACTCGTCGGATCTGCAGACCCCCTGCAACGAGAACAACGTCATCGAATTCGATCCAGTGACGATGGACGACGTGAGGCACAGATTGAGGCCGCAACAGCAGCCACCCGTAACGGACATCAAAGTTACCGAGTGCGAGAATATCGACATGGTCAACAAGGACATGATGAGCCTGAGCATGGAGGAGGACAGTTTGCTGATCGTCGAGCAGACGGAGGACACCACGACGAGCGAGGTCGTTACCGTGCTAGCTAGTCCGAGAGATCCGGTGAAGAGCATCGTGAAGAATAACGCCACTCCGGAAGAAACCCCGACCGAGCCCACTAAGACACCGGAATTTCCACCGTCTGACGTGCCGAGAGCACCGCTCGAGCACAACGAGGACACGGATCCGGACTATCTGGAGTACGTGAAACGGCTGCAGGATCGAATCGCCGAGTTCGGCAACGTCAAGGACTCGCTGGATCTGCGCAAGTCACGTCGCAAGACGCCCAGAGCCTCGCCGCTGCAGACGCGCAGCAACACCGTCGATCAGCAGCATCAGCAGCACGAGTCGTCTCCGCCTTCTCAGACGACCAACGAGAACACGACGAGCAGCTCGAACGGAGGTGGAGGATCCAAGTCGCCGGCTACCTCGCGGAAACTCGAGGAGCTGACTCGCGAGCGCACCAAGCAGAAGAGTCTGGTGCAGGATCTGCTGATGGAAAAGCTGGAGGCGCAGAAAGCGAGATCGGCCGAGAAGCGCGCCAAGAGACAGGCCGCGAGGACGGCGAGCTTCAATAATTTGAGCTGCATGAGAGCTCCTCCGACGCCGACGATGATGGCCGACGGTGGACTGGATAATGGAGATATGATGGTCGTGAGGGCTGTCAAGGCCACCGTAGAGCCGAGCGACACAGTTGGTAAGTCGTCAATTTAATTCTAATTTTTCACACGAATTACACGATCAAATGTTTTAATGATAAAAATTGTTACTTTATTTCAGAAGCGAAACCAGCAAGACCGTCGATTCTTCGAACACCCTCGCAGCTGAGCACTGCTGATCTTCGTAACAACGAACGCAACGCCTCGATGACACCCGCCTCTCGATCGTCGCCCAGCACACCTCAAGGTAATCTCGATTTCAAGACGCCCGTAGCACCGATCCGGCGCATCAAGCACGAGGACGCTCTGTCGACCGCCGAAAAGGCGCGTTACGAGGCGCGAGAACGAGCGAGACTCAAGAGCGACGAGGATCTTGGCCTCAGTCCCGAGGATCGATTGAAGCAGCTGCGCATGAAGATCAATCGGCGTCCGCTGAAGCTCGAGATGGATGACGATCCTCAGGCAAAAGCTGCCAAACGATACAGTTTCGGCCTTTACAACAAATCGCCTACGAGCAAACTGCCGACGAGCAAGAGTACCGATAACGTCAAGGCCATTACCAAGAGTCAAGAAATCACGGCGAAGAGTCTGGATGAATTGTTGGTCTCGCCGGACGACGTCGTTGTCAAGCGGGAAAAAAAGAAGTCCAAGGATCCCGAGAGAAGAAAGAGCATTATTCAAGCCGTGTCCGATTTCTTCAAAAAGTCGCCACCTGGAAAAGATGGAAAGGAGGGAAAAGATGGCAATCACAAATTGTCCATGTTCAGACTGACCCCGAAGGGCAAGGATAAGAGCAAGGTGAGCGTTGACACGAAAGGAGGCGAAATTCTGGCAATTGATATTTTTAATGATGATGGTTATCATTTTATAACGGCCAGAATATGCTGCCAAAATCTATAATTTTCGATACAATTAAATTATTTGAAAAAAAAAAAAAAGAAAAACAAACCGAAGAAAACAACAACTCCAAATCCGAGTGCAAGTTTTAACTTATTTTTATTGTCATTTTTCAGTTGTTTAAATCGTATTCGGATGGGTCAGATGTAAGCAATTTATAAATATGTAGTTGTTGACAAAACACACTTTATCTTCCTTATTTGCTCTTCTTCATCATGTGTTGTTGCTCATTTCTTCAAATTTTAGTTATCTTAATTACAGGTACTTTTTCGTTCAGCCTTTTTTATTTTGTCGTGTGTAACCAAATCAACTTGCACTTATAATTAAAAATGAAAATTATATTCATATTTCTACTTAATGTCTAATGATAGATCTGATGATCGATAATACACCTGCAGGAAACTGCAATTTAGCCATTACAAGTATTTAACATTTTTTAATTCATTTTAACTACTGTTTATTCGCAGCTTATGCATACAACTTCTGTTCACGAAGTTGATATTATCTGTAAATACGATTAATAATTTTTTACATTTACAAAAATCACACGACAAAAATGAATTTTTTTTCTTTGCATTTAGCCAAGCTTCTTTTTTTCTTAATCTCAGTTTTGATGTTTCTTAACGCTTTCAGTTCTAATTACTTTTAATAATTTTTTATGCTTGATAAAGTTTTGTTTCGTTGAGTTAGAAAGTTTGTGTGTGCAGAGTTCACCCCCCCTTACCACCCTTGAAATCATTAGATAAACGAGTTTTTTCTTTAATGTAAAATTTTATAAAAAAAACTTGTTGAAGCACCAACACCGTAAAAATATTACATGTACACAATAGTTGTGTCTCAGAGTTTTTTTGTATCATCGCATCTAACCGATTGAATCAGATATACATTTAGTTTGGATTTTGGAAAAATGATCACGTTGTGATCTAGTAATTTTGGGACTCTCTTCGCTGCAAAAGTTTTCACGACTGCGCTCAAAATCACAATTTTTGTTTGACCGGAATCTCATTCGTTCGATTCATTTGTTTATTTATCATCGCATCGAATCAGGTAGTTTTCGAATCGACTTATGAGCGCAGTTCCATCGATCAACAATTTTGCAACGCTAGATTGTCCACTTGGTGAATATTTCGTACGATTTTTAACGCCTCCGGATTTTTATTTTCAGCTTGACAAAACAGGAACATCTCCATTGGATAAACGACCGAAGAGTGTGTGCGAGGGTATGTTGCACATCGGTAACTTCTCGATCGACTCTCTGCCTTCACCACCGCCCGTACCACCTCCGCCGATGGACTACATCTTACCATCTAACGCTTACGGTAAGGGATTTCCCACCCAAATTCCTGTTGATGTTTACATTTCCTCGTGACTACTCGAGTATCTAATCAAATTCACAGAAGACAGTCTATCGGACGAGGACTCGAAAACTGCAATGCTTTCGAGCTCGCAACAGGTGCTGAAAAACGCGAACGGCACCGACGGTTCGAGCAACAGCATATCTCGCCGATACAAGAACGCCAAAAAATTGGCGAGGCAGGCGCAGCTCAAACGTCTGCGAATGGCCCAAGAGATACAGCGCAAACTGGAGGAGACGGACGTCAAACAGCGCGAGCTCGAGAGTCGCGGGGTGAGCGTGGAAAAGTCGTTGAGAGGCGAGGGCGAGTCGTCGGATCGCGAGGAGGCCGATCTGCTGCGCGAATGGTTCGACCTGATGCGCGAGCGGACCGAGTTGCGAAGATACGAGAAGGAGCTGCTGGTCAGGGCTCAGGAGGTGCAGCTGGAGGATCGTCACGATCGACTGCAGCAGGAGCTGAGGGAACGATTGGCCGACGATGGTAGGTTGACACCACCGATGCCCCCACCTGATTAATTCACGCACAATCCTCGCAGGGTAATTAATAATGGGTACAAAAAAAATACAATTATTTTTGTGTGACTGTGCAGATGGGAAGAAAACAAGCGCCGATGTGAAGAAAGAAGGCGAGATCTTAACCGAGATGCTAGAAATCGTTGCGAAACGCGACTCGCTGATAGCACTGCTAGAGGAAGAACGACAAAGGTGCCGTAGACCCTCGTGTCCGACGCATGTTAAAGCGAACTCGACGGCCATTTGGGCTTTCTGGTCGTCGTCGAGTTTCAGATTACTTGTCGCCTACGTTCTTTTGGCCATTTTGCTCGCCTACACGCTTACCACATTTCTCGCTAACTTTGTCGTTCAATTTTACGCTTTTATATTGATTTATTTTCTGTTTCTTTTTTGTTTCAATCACTACTATGCTTATGCATGACCGTTGTACATGGTGCTGTTGTCTATATCTATTTGTAGATACTCTTTGTTACGTAATTTAAAAGAATTTATTTTAATTTCTACGATTCAAATTGTTCAGGAATCGCAACATATTTGTATTGTCTATTCGCGCTCTTTTATATCTATATCTTATGTTATTTATTTTTATACGTATATTTTTTTATTGATAATGTCCACAGTGCAATATTTTCAATTTGTTGTTTTTGTTAGAATTTTATAAAAAATTTTATGGATGAAAAATATTATTATTTTTTTTTAAATATATTTGTTTCACGTATGCACGTCTATATTGACTTGTTTTCTTTTCGCATGATTATTTTGCAAATTCTTTTCAAGATTTATCTCACAGTTTATCACATAGATATCATTTAAGAAGGAACACACATCTTTACGAGAAATTTAACATTTAATATCTTTACTGAAGTTTCAAGAATGAATGAAGTCTGAAGTAGAGTCAAAACTAAATTTATCAATCGTTTTCATTCGCTTATATCGTTTCACTTAACAATTCGAACATTTTTGAAAATCATTCAATTACATTTGCATTTTGAAAATCTATGACTTTTATCCAACTCAAAGTTAAAGGCTTGCTTCGCACACGAGTGAAAAACATCATTCACGGGCAGAGGGTGTTTTATTGGCTTCGCTTAGCATTACACTCCTCTGCAATCAATTGCAGATATCGAAGATTATCGGTAAGCCAAACGCGCTTATCGCTGATCAGTAAAAAACAATGGGATAGGGTTAATAGTTGATGAAGTAAATTTTTCGCGTTGATTATCGTTGAGTTGAAAATTATATTTTATATTTTATCAATCAATTTCTCTGTATTAAAAGCTTTCTTGCACTTTAGTTTTCTTTTTTAGTCTTGTATTTTATAGCTTATTGAATCATACGAAGTATTTGATCCTTGACTAATTATTATTTTTGAATTTAACAGGTATCGGGACGAAGATCGAGATTTCGAATCCCAAATGCAGCAGAAAGGTCTTAGTCTAACACCGAGCAAGATCGGATCCAAGTATTCCGTTTAGTACATTACTCGTAAAATTGTAATTTGTGTTCATTCGACAGAATCGAACTGAGAATAAAATACCCCATATTCATGTTCATTTTCGATTCAGTCCATCATACACCATACTGTGTATTGTCTCGTTGCAATTATTTTTCTTTAAAGGAAATGCGAAAGAATAACTCTACGTCTAAGTAAATTTATTTTTTCACGACGAATTTATTACTTTATATGTTTTGCGTATACGAATGTATTTTTATGTCAAATGATAGCCAGTCTTTAAATGTTTAAGATGAAAAAGATCAATGTAAAGGAAGATGAAAGGTGTTTCATGCTTTCTTAATGAGTGAATTATAAATTAGTGAATTTGTCTGTAGTTTAACACTGTCTCTTTTTACGAAGTATCGCAGTTCGTACCAGAGAATAAGAATGTGTCATGCGTGCAAAACAAAAATGCGGATAAAGAAAAAATATTTTTCTTCCATGATATTGAGCCGATAAATGTGTGATATGTATAGTTCAACGAGAGTGTCTATATTTTTTATGTTCGTTAAGGAAAAAAAAGAGACTGGTAGCGTTATAATAAGATAAGTACGAAGGGATATTGAAACGTTGTAAATTATGGTTCGAAATGATCAATTAAGTCATTGCATAGTCAATTTTTTACGCGAAAAATCATGTTGAGAGTATTTTTAATGATATGACGTGTACCATCCATTCAATGATTATATATCTATTTAAATTTCACGGTACAACCAGCGTATCTATGAAAATCTTATTCCTTCAGAATTTTTATGCAATTAAATTCATTTTTGCAGGTGTGTTACAGCTTGAAATAATCATTTTGCGCACTGCCAAATTTCGGTTTTGCATTTTGTCTGTATTTATTGATTTGAATTATAAAGTTTTTAATGCTAAAAAATTAAACGGCATTTAATTTCGAAAGAGTGCTAGTTAAAAAAAAAAAGAAAAAAGATGTGAAACAATCATGTTCTCAATCAAAACATTAAAATTTTAAGAGAAAAAAATTTACGAACTTAATCATGTGGAATTTAATTGTAATAAAAGATAAATTAAATTTTACTTACACAAGTTACATTGAAAAAATATGTAGCCTTAACGTATACTTATAATATAATTTATAATTCATAAAACCTAGTCGAATGAATAAAAGTCAAAATAGTGTTTTCTTTTATTAAAAATGTATGTGGTTGTATCCCAACAAGATTTTAATCTTCAAATTTTAAAGTAGAGTAATTTATTGAATTAAAACATATATTTGATGCCGAGCTACAGTTAAGTAGTACTTTATACATTAATTCATGTACCTCTGGCACATGTAAATACATACGAACTTTTATTTAACAATTTGCATTAAAAAAAAAACTAAAATATAAGCTTGTATGATTTGTACAAAATAATAAATAAACAGAGTCAACGCAATTGTGTTCTTCTGAGACTTTTCCTTCAATCAAGTATTTCTCATAACTGTGAAAAAAATTATACTAACTTCGACGATTATACACGAACGTTCAACTTTGAGTTGCTTACCATTGCGCTAATTTTAATAAAGCTTTTATATTGAAAAAAAATCAGTAGTATTTATTATTAAAAGTGACATTCATCAAAACTTTTTTCGTACGGTTAACGTAGATGTCAATACTTTTTTTATTAAAAAATAATACATTCAAGTAATCGTATCAACAAATTTTGAATTACCATACGAAATCGTATAAATTATTCAATCTTCTCGTTGAGTCTGCTCTCGTAACCACTCAATGTTCGCATTTTTTTTTACTTTCAACGTAACTCTCGATATCACACGTAATACGATAAATAATTCAGTCGCACGTTTTGCAAATTGGAAAAATACTAGCGTTCGAACACTCGTTAGCAGATGTATTTGCCACCGCGCTGATACCAATCGGGCGGTCCGTCGATTTCCAGGGCCGTTCGCAGCTCGGGTCGCATGTGGTAGGGTTTCTCGTAGCTGCCATCGTTCTGGTCGGCGTCCTCGAGGACGCAGAGCAGAATCGTGTTGAAGCCCGTGGCGAGGAGCGAGAAGACGGGCAGCACGAAAATGAGCGAGCCCAGAGCGATGAAGACCATGAGCACGTTGAGATCCTCGGGCTCGACGGTGGAAGACAGGTAGCCGGAAGTGCAGAACATCGTGAGCAGCGAGATGAAGATGACGCCCATGAAGAGAATCCATTCGGTCATCTGTCACGAACGAATTTTCATTTCAATAAATTATGTTCTTTTTTCTCTTTTTAATAATGATAATGAATAAATCGTACTTTGGCCATGAGCAGACAGCGCTTGGTGTGTCTCGCCAAGTGATCGGCCGCCAACGCGGCGGACTCCATGTAATCCTGGCCGTGAACGGCACACATGGTGATGGCACTGCACATCGTGAATCGCAGCACGACCGCGTCGAACAAATTGCTCACGGTCAGAAGAATGAGCTTGAGGTCGCGGCCCCGTTGGCGGAACGAGTCGATCAACAGCTTGACGATCGTCCCGATTGCCGTTAAAACGCCGAAGATCCAGGCCCCGTGGGTCATGGTGCCAATGTGATACCTACACATCGTAAATGAAAAAAAATTAAAGTCTCGCATTTTCTTGAAAATAAAATGAACGAACGCTTACTTGGCGGCGATCTTGATGAAAGCCGTGACCGTGTCCCGGGACTGATGATGCATCGAGGCCTTGTCGGCGTCCCAGTAGCAGCTGGCGAAGGTGCCGGCGATGACCAGCTGGGCGAAATTCGACACCGACCAGGGTATCCAGCTGCTGGCCACGAAGTTCAGGGCCATCATGAAGTCGACGTGGGCCGGGCGCAGTTCGGGCTCGTCCTCGTCCTCGATCGTCGCGAGGAACATGTGGGTCGTGGCGCCGAACACCACGAGCAGCAGGCCGAGCAAGTAGAACAGCACCGTGTACAGGACGATCTTTCCATTTTGACTCAGTAGTCTGGGTTTTATCAAAAAATAATAAATAAAGGGTGGAATTGTAATTATTAAAAAAATTATGATATTCCTAGTAAAAATGCTCAAAATTAATAAAAGCCTGGTGATCAAAAAATGATTACAATGTTTTATTATACTTTAATTGGCTTGTTTTAGAAATTTTTCTGCGTTACAATCTTGCTTCAAATATTGTGCGAACTTGAAATGACCTAATTATGACAATTTAATTGTTTTAAAAATGTTCAATCACTTTAAATACGATAATCTCATTTTAAGCATCCACCGCGATATGGCGAGTACTTTTATCTCTAAATCTACTAGTGGCAAAGTGAAAACATTTGTATAAGTCAGTTATTGGTTTTTGTCTATATCATGGAGCTCATTTTGCAAAAGGTCATTTGGAATTCGACCGACTTTATTAATCCCCAATAATTTTGATTTAAACGTTTTATCTTAATTTAATTAAAAGCAGTGAGTTTCTTACGCATTTACCGACACGATACATTTCTAAAACTTCTATCTAAAACTTTAAATCCCTTAAAAATACAAATTTAATCGAGTTTAGAAGTGTTGATGACTCAGTAGGGTGGACCGTCCTAAACGATTCACATTTTTGTGGCTTTACTACTTTTTTCAGGAATATAACTATTTTTTTATAACCAAGTGCATGTTTTCTTATAAAAGCTTAGTTTTGTTGCTATCAAAAAGTATTTTAAAAAAATTTTTTCGACGTATGCATAATTTATATAAGCTAACAAAGTGACAATTTATCAAGTAGTTCAACATTAATAAGTCTTGATGATTGGCTTGTTTTTTGTGATTTTCTGTTACAATTATGTTGACAATAATTCAAATGACCTAAAAATGACCCTTTAACTGTTTTAAAAAATTTGAGCCAGTTTTCAACCAAATTTATTATGAGAATACCACTTTACGTTTTTACCGCTAGTTGGCGAGTAACTTGTAACCGTAAATCTGCAAGTGGCAAAGTTAAAATAACTCTATATATAAATTGAAAAATGGAACACTCGGTACTGAACGCTTTTATTTCAAGGTGCTGAAAATTTCTACCAGAGATATGTACGATGTATGGTCAGACTCACTGGCAAGTCTCCTTGACGATGGCCTCGGTCAGGTAGAACCACTCGGTGTGTATGAGCACGTGGGTGAGCACGGCGCTGCAGACCGAGGCGGCGAGCGCGTAAAACGCCCAGACGGTCGGATAGAGGGCGGCCAGGACGATGCAGGTCGCCACGGGCATCCAGCACAGGCCCAACACACCCACGCTGATGTTGCGGAACTTCAGCAGCACCACGACGAACAGCAGCGAGTACAGTGAGGTCAGCAGGACGAAGCCGACGATGATCAGTAGCCTGCGAGAAGGAGAAGAGGAGGAGATAAAATTAACGTTGTTACGAGAATTGCCGTGGATGATATTATTCGCGACGATATACTATAACACACTTGCCTTGAGGTAGTGAGAGCTTGCTCGATTTCATCCGCAACGTCTGGCGGTAATAATTTGCTCGAGTCTCCTGTTACGTAAGCTGCGTGCACGTATGCGTATCGGTGCGCCAGTAGCGATAAATTAATAATAAATTAATAATAATGCGAAAAATGCCGCGCTCGTGAGTTGCAGTTGCGATCGAAATCGATCGAAAAATCAAACTCTTACCGTAAATACCGGTGGCGATCCAGCACGGCAGTACCATCCAAAAAAAGACCGTATAGGCGGTATCGGTCGGGCTCCTTCTTTTCTCCAAAATATTGGGATTGCGCGGGATCAATAGACTGTCGCTCTCCATTTTCACGAGCCTTTTTTAAAGTTCTCTATATAAAAAATTCTAGCGAGAAAGAAAGTAAATAATCGTTAAAAATCTCAATGAATCGTCTCGCGAAATCAAACTCACCTGAGATATTACAAATATGAGCGCTGCAACACCTCGTAACGATCGTCGCCGGTGCCATGGAATTTTCACGCATCACCACTGGAGCCCGTCGACTATAAACGGCGCGACTATTAGACGCGCGCACCGCCACTCTCGTTTATACGCGCTATGCTATACATGCTGTATGTTATGCACTCTCGTATACTTATACGAATGTCATGCAAGAGAAGTTGCAAATCCGAGTCTGTAAGGCTTAAAGCCGATGCTTTTTCACGCATACACGGAGAAGAGGGGGGACGACGATCGCGCGAAGCCGTACGGGCAGCTCGTTGCGTGTGTATGTGCGTGCCGTATGCACAATGTATACATGGCGATATTACGGGGCTTGGATGTATCGTATGCATTCACGATTTTTCTACTACTAAAAGTACACTTTTAATTCACCGTGCAGAGATGCGACAATGTGTAAATTTTCGTCGTCGCTACACCACGACATTTTTTATCCGGAACTGGTGCGAAAAACGCAATTAGATATGACTTTATCGGTAAACGTGACTCACGATCGCGTCGTATAAATACGTACATACACCACAAGCTTATCGATGTACGCAAGCTTTCGTTTTGCTCGGGCAAATAATGCGCACTCGACGTTTTTATAGTCTATATAGCCGACTTGGCTAATTCAAAATTGTTGAACATCTATTTTTTTAAGATGAGAGGAATCATTATATTACTGTATATTACGTTCAAATACTTTGGCGGAGGTAAGAAAAATTCGTAGACAAAAAAACAGTAGAGTACCTTTATTGATTTCAATTCTGATAGTCGACTGTACACCCGAGCCTGCTCGACCTCGCATTGTCGAAGGCCACCACACGTCGATCGCCTCTCACCCTCATCAGGTCTCCATCGAGTACGCCAACCGTCACAACTGCGGTGGCTCGATCCTCGACCGTCACTACGTCATCACCGCGGCTCACTGCGTCCACGGCTTCGATCTCTCGCAGATCACCATCCGCGCGGGCAGCTCGTACCGCGAGAAGAACGGCCACGTGCACACGGTCCAGGAGGCCCACGTCTACGAATGCTACAACCCGTGCTCTCTGGCCCACGACATCGCCATAGTGCGGGTGAAGCCGCCGATACACCTGGGTCCGCGTCAGCGAGCCATTCGGCTGTTCTCGAAGGACGAGCCGCTGGAGGTCGGCGAGTGGGGCACCGTCACGGGCTGGGGCCTCGAGCACGAGAATCACGTGGCCTACCCGGTGAATCTCAAGCAGGCCCAGGTGCCGATCGTCGACTGGGACGACTGCCAGAAGGCCTATCGAGACACGGATGGAATACACGAGGGTCAGGTGTGCGCCGGACATCTGGGCGTGGGTGGCAACAACACGTGCCAGGGTGACTCCGGAGGGCCATTGGTTGTGGCGGGTAAGCTCGCCGGTATTGTGGCCTGGGCTCACGGCTGCGCCGATCCCAAGTTTCCGACGGTATTCACGGAGATCGCATATTATCGCGACTGGATCGATGCGACGATCGGCAAGAATCTGCACTACCGCAAGGAGGACTGCCGATTGGCTTTCATCAGGGAGCAGCAGCTGAGCACCGAGCAGGTCTGCAACAGTTATCTGAATTACATCAGTCCGGATTTCATGAAGGACAAGAACCAGCCATACGAGTTAGAAAACAGTTTTATACAATACAAATAATAATCGATCGTTATTACATGAAATTTCAATAAGAACGTCGTTAATACAACAATAGCACAATTCGACTACATCGTAACATTATTCTCAATAACATTGTCGATACCAGGTGGGGGGTCCCGATCTGGCCATGGCTTCGCGCAGCTCCTCGTTCATTCTGTAGGGTTTGTCGGGGCTGCCGTCGTTCAAGTCCTCGTCCTCGAGGATGCAGAGCAGCAGCGCGTTGAAGCCCGTCGAGAGCATGGCGAAAGTCGGCAGAATGAACATGAGCGAGCCCGCGGCGATGAAAGCGACGATCACGTTGAACTCCTCCGGGTCGATTTCCGGATCGACCGAGCCCAGAGTGAGTATGAGAAGGAGGAAGTAGATGGTCATCGTGCCGATCAGGAGGATCCACTCGGTCATCTGGGCGGGAAGAAAACTCGTTAATTTTGCGTTTATTGCCTTTGGCTTTATTTATTACTATTTATATTATTATACCTTGGCGATGAGAAGACACTTTCTCGTGTGTCTGGTCAGATGGCCCACGGCTATAGCCACGGACTTCTCGTAGTTTTGGGCGTGTATCGCGCACACGCTCACGGCGCTGCACATGGTGAAGCGCAGCACCACCGCGTCGAAGAGATTCGCCACGACGAGCCACCAGAGCTTCTTGTTGCGCCGGTTCTCCCTCAGCTTTTCCTCGAGCACACGAGCGAGCGTCATGAGGCTGTAGAAAGTGCCGAATATCCAGGCGCCATTGGCAGCCGTGCCTATGTGATACTTGCCGACGAGCTTGAAGCACTCGCCGACGACGTTTTTATTTCTATTATCGGCTTCGGCTGGCTCCACCGCTTTGTCGTTCCTCGAGGCCCAGAAACGAGTGGCCATCGTCCCGGCAATGACCATCTGGCCGAAGTTGAGAAACACCCAGGTGACCCAATGCGTGATCATGACGTTGAGCAGAGTCAGCACCTTGACGTAGATCGGCAACTCCTCGAGGCCGTCCTCGTCGAGCACGGTCAAGGTCTGAAGGTAGAGGTGGCCGAAAGTGCCGAGGGTGACCACGAGCAGGCACAGCTTGTACCACATCAGCGAGAACATGACCAAACGACCGTTGGCCCTGAGAAATCTGTCGACAAGAAAAAATGTCCCCTGGAATTAGTTATCGTGGTTTTTCGTGCGATTTTATCCTGCTAGGAGAAATGCTCAGAGGTTAGTTTTTAGCCAGGGAAAAAGTTTTTTGGACATGAAAGGGCCATTATAACTGAATACACTGTACACCACATACTTTATAGAACATACATACATACATACAACCATATAGACTCCGTGTCATACAATTGTTTTCACTTTACCACTTGTAGATTTATAGAAATATATGTACTTGCCATCTAGTGGTGAAAGATTAAATGTTGTCTCATTCAAAGTGGTTGGTTTAACTTGTATGAAACTATTCAATTGTCATTTTTCGATAATTTAATATTCACTCGATATTTGAAACATAATTAAAACAAAAAAGTTGTGAAAAACATACCGATCAAAGTTCATTTATTACGAAAAATTTTAATTTTTCGATCATCAGGCTTTCACTCATGTTGAGCATTTCTACCAGGGTAATAGCTTAAACAAAAAACTTCCTCCCTTTTATACATACCTGCATGTCTCTCGTATTATGGCTTCCGGCAGATAGAACCATTCCGAGTGTATTAGCACCTGGGTGATGATGGCGCTGCAGAGGGTCGTCAGCAGGCCGTAGAGGGTGAAGAAATTCGGCCAGGTGGCGAGGAAGATGACGCTGGCGACGAAGGGCAGCCAGGAAACGCCAAACACGAGGCTGACGAAGTGGCCGACCTTGCGCAAGATCGCCACGTAAGCGAGGCAGCACAGTCCCGCCACGAGCGTGAAGCCGATTATCGTGAAAATTCTGTTGGTATATATAACGTGTATACGTGTATTAGCCGAAGCGTCATTTGAATTGCAAATTTTTGAGCTCTATTGCGTCTCTTGGCGAAACGAATCTTGTTACATTGTAAATAAAAGTACCTGGATACGGTGAGCGTAGCGACGATTTTTGCCGATAAATCCTCCGACAGTATTTTATCGCTGTTGCCGGTCACTCGAGCTGCCATACAGTAAGAATATAATTGTTGAACTCTTCAATGCAGACAAGATCAAAAGTGAAAAAAATTCGAGCTTTACCGAATATCAGCAGGGCAATCCAGAAGCAGACGGTGATCGTCAGGGTATAGATGTAGGTCGAATCGGTAATGCGCCGTCCCTTGCCGAGGATGTTGGGCATTCCCGGCCTTTCGTTGACCAGCAGTAATGTGTCACTCTCCATTTTGCGGACTCGTTCATTAGTAAACGCTGCAGCGATAATTTCACAACGTTGTTGTTATTTTTATGTTTATTATTTTTCCTTCACAATGGATATATTGGCGGCTAATACCGTTGGCGTGAACGTTATATAACGCAGCTGCTGCTGCGCATCGCAATCAACGTACGGTAACGCGTAATGTATCAAAACGTTTTCTCAAACAAAGAGAAATTCAATTGGTTCGAAATGTATTGAGGTACGAAGGGCGGGAAAAGAGAATGTTTGTAAACCACCATCGAATCGAACGATCGATGACCGATAAGAATATAGTGATTTGCTTGCTCACCTCAGCACTTACACTTGGCGAAACTTTGGCAAAAGCTATAATATACGATATATCACAAGCGACTCATGGCGAGATCGACGTTGAAGCACCAAAAGTATACAATTGTCGCAGCTTCGATGTCAATATCTCGCGCGATACTGCGTTTCCACGATATTACGTTTTTCTCGATGCGCTATGTATAACGTTATAACGCGTCGTTCATAACTTCGCGACTGAGAAAAACCTTGTTATGCTCGGGCATGCGAAGGTATGTGTGTGCGTCTATGTGCCTGGCTCTATAGTGCATGCACACACGAGCGCAATGTAGGATTAATAAAGTCACCTGCGAGGATGTATGCATATACGCACGCACGAGTATGTACGTTCCGGTAATAGTGTGAGTGCGCGAATTCTAGAACCGGCTTGACTGCATCTCTATAGCGCGAACGCATCATGGTATAGCAGTTGCGACGTGCAATATGTATGCGTGCGCGTATCTCTTTTCCGAATTTTTCTCTGCATCGGGTAAATCTGCGAGCTTATACGACCACCGAAGAAATTATCATCTAACATACGACCGCATTACAAGATATGTTATGATTATTTTTGTGATATTAACATGTCGGGCCACAAGGGCGAGTACCTGACGCAGGAGGATAAGGGCGCGGAGATTGCCCTGGACCCGAACTCGGTGGTCGTCAACTCTGCGGTCATCAACTCGGCGACTGGGCAATTAAGTGAAAAGCGAAAGGAAAGGTTCATTTGATTTTAGGACGAGGGCAATGCCAATTTTACCAATGCGCTCGAGTTAGATTTCTTTTTATAAATGATTTATTTACCTTCCGCCTGTTTATAAAGAAGCCTATTTTTATCTAATATTAATATTAGTTAAATGCCCAAAAAAAAGGAGACGAGAAGAGCTTTCGAGCGGTATTATAACTAATGAATCTCAAACGTAAAAAACATAAAAAAACGTATACTGATAGAAATTTACGAACTCTGGCATGAAATCCGCTGTGGTTGGCTCAAGAATTATAGGATTTCATGAACCAAGATGACATTATACCTGGGGCAAGAAATTTTTCGTCGTGCGGCAAGAAAATCAAGAATTCTTGTCGCAGGTAAAATTTCGTCTTGGTTCATGCAGAGATTTTATTTGATACTTGATTGATACGAGCGCGTAATAATATGAAATCATACATAAAACGTAGTTAGTCTCAAGTTGTTGTCTCCACGTCGTTGTTTGTGTGCACGAATCATAGATGGAGTCATGAAGCATTCACGCTGTTTTGTCACGGATAGTGGTTGTGACCATGATCACACATGCACTGAAGAAGTATGAAAAGTTTAGAGTGAGTTCATTAAACGATACTCTGGGAATTCTACGACAAACCTCATTCTAATTTTTTAGGCCTGTAAGCTACGCGATAGGAGCTGTACATATACCATAAGCACATAACTCTAATATGAGTATGAAAACATGTTTTCAAAGGTATGAAAAATCACCAGTTTTATTGGTGAGAGTCAATTTTCATAAAATTTCATGTGTCAGCAATTTTTAGAAAATATAGATTTAAGCCCCCTGTTAGCCCTGAACCCATTAAATCCAAAGAAGACGTTTTTTCAACCCTTTATTCGTCCACTGAATTTTTGGTAAAAATCAAAAAATATGCGAGTACCTAATTCTAATGTAAAATTGAATGCCCTTTCAGAATCTGATCTCAGATTTTCGAAAAAATGATTAGGTCAAAAGTTAAACTTGATTTTATAAAAAAAAACGTGATTTTGAAAAATAATTTTTTTTATTTTTCGACTTTCCAAATCGAAACCATTTGAAATCTCAAAAGTTTCGTGCAAATATCGCGTCCTCGATATCTAAACTGAAAGTTAGTGGGGTACCGATTGAAAAAATTAATGTTTGAACATAAAAAATAGCGGTCGAAACTCGCAAAATTGAATGAAAACTCATCGAATTTTTACTCAAAAACGAAGGAATTGAGAAAAAAGTGTATTTTTTAACTTTATTTTCTTCAATCTAAACCCCACTAACTTTTAGTTTAGGTATCGAGGACGCGATATTTGCACGAAACTTTTAAGATTTCAAATGGTTTCCATTTGGAAAGTCGAAAAATAAAAACAATTTTTTTTCAAAATCATGTTTTTTTTGGGTATAATCAAGTGTAACTTTTGACCTGATCACTTTTTCAAAAATCTGAGATCAGATTCTAAAAGAGCATTAAATTTTACATCAGAATTAGTTACTCGCATATTTTTTGTTTGTGGTTTTGCGCATGAAGACAGTGAGATTACGCACAATTGGTGTGGCAAAATTGATCTGTTGGGATATTGAGCGAGCTTTATTGAGAAGAAGATGGATTTCTTTGGGCCATAATGGGCGAAGAGAGAGCTTAGTTGCATCACCTGAAATGAAAAGGGTTTGAGAATTAGTGGTTGAAAGTTTGTGTGCTTGAGATATGATGTGTTCACGGATATTTGGGGATCCTCATTTAAAAACAAGTGATAGAGTTTTAAGAATACTATTGCTGTTTGTAGGGATTGTCTTTTTGTGTGTCCAGTTTCGTGTTGATGCTATGAAGTGTGTGTGGTTATTGAGGCCAATGGCAGAGAATATTTTATAGAGGATGTCTCTGTCTGGAATATTGAGGTCTGTTGGCAGACCTGACAACAAAACCTCGCTGTCGTCTCTTAAATTCGGTGCGCTGTTTAACCGCTTTCGACAGCGTCTTCACTGTGACCCCAAAATTCACTTCACGATTCACGTGCTCCAAACTCGCAAAAAGCTCGCGCTCGAGACGTCTCACAGCTCCGAGTAGCTGCTTGTTGCTCACTTTTTGCACGCCCGAATTTCCGCGTCGTCCGTCTTCCAGGGGAAGATCGGCGTTCAAGCGCGCTCTCTACCTTCAGACTGTCGGACTGTTGATGCCGAGGCGCTCGCCGATGACCGTGTCACTAAGACCAGCTTCCATTAGGCCTTGCAATAAGCCAAGATTGGCATCAGTTAGAACGAAATCATCGAAATTCATTCTGAAAACCTACTATCGACGACAATTCAAAACAGTCTGATGTGCATGCTTGCCTTGCCCACGATATAATAGCTGCAAATCACATGAAAAAAAACGCGTCAACACTAAATTGCCGTCTTAGCAATTTTCGCGTCGCATCTCTCAGACGATTCCCGAGAAATAGAACATAGTGCTTGACTCGACGTGATGCGGTATCTCTTTCATCTCTGCCAGAATTGGCATGGACGTGGCACTTTCATTGAAGCTGTACACTGAAAAGGTCAGCGGGAACTTGATTACTTTCAAAATGTACTGAATGCTGTTTTTACAATGCCATAAGTTGATTTCGAAAAAATGCGACTAATTGTTTTTCAAAAGTGACTGAGTTCCCTCTGAGAAGGCGCTCACTTGTATCAGTCTGAAGTAGGCTCTGAAGGACGGTCTCGTTGAGGGAACTCAGTCTCCTCTATCAAGCAACAACTCATCTCCACGAGACAAATGAATTTTCTTTGCATAGAGTAATGTTATTGTACCCAATAGAGGTTAGTCGTTCTGCTCTAGCCTTTTCAGTGTATAAATTCTGATACCCGAACAATACAACGGCACGAGACCTCTGCCTGCGAATCCCCATTCCGCCCCTTAGCCGCCGTGGGCTCACGCGCCGACCGGCCAGCGGTATAAAATCCAGCGCCGATTCGATTCGGCACGCAGTTCCACCCCTGGACTTACCGGAGTCGAAACTCACTCGCCCACGAGAGCTTGGCCTAGGGAACGTTCATAAACCTGAGTTGTAATGAAATACTCGAGTTTATTATTTTTGCTCCTCTCCAAGCCTCCTTCCCACTTCTACACTGAGATGCTTCACTAGCAACCGCTGGGTGGCGCAGCGCCGGCACCCACAAGCTACTTATCCAACCAGGGTTTAAATACCGGCCAGTTCGAACCTCGGCCTTTCGAATTCGGTCACCCGGTCAGCGAGTGCAGCCTAGACCTTCCGGCCGTAGGGTCAAGCTACTCGTTTGTTTAGAAGCACGGTGCCAGTACGCACGCCTAAATATGTTGTAAATTTTGTAGATACACTGTACATAGATTTTTCATATATATATTAATATTCCGAGGCCAGGGTGAAGGTGCTTGATGAATGAGGTGTGAGAAGCGCGAGATCGGCTTAGAAACAATTTATTTGAGAATATAACATGGATTTAAACTATTTACAAATTATTTCCTCCCTGCTCTCGCCTCAGCTGAGGCGGCTCGGCCGGGCGACCTGCGTATAGAACGCGCCTCTGGCGCGGCAGTTACATATATGCCTATAATCAACATCGTTATCGCAAAATAACACAATTTTTAAAATTGAAAATATCCCATTTGTGGCTTATAAGGCCTGCACATGCGCATGGACTGACCAGTGCACGCGCATTGGCCGTTTTAGGCCAAATCGCAATATTTTTAGGCGGAAATTGAAGGTTTTTTCAATTTTTTCAATATTTCCAGTTTCTTTTGCGCCTTGATGGTATAACCTACAGATTTCTAGTGCTTTCATACGTATTCACTGTAAATTTCAAGAGGATCGGATGAAAATTGACAAAGTTATCGCGAAATAACACAATTTTCCAAATGAAAAATATTCGATTTCACGCTTATTAGGCCTGAACGTGCGCATGGACCGTCAAGTGCACGCGCATTGGCCGTTTTAGGCCAAATCGCAATATTTTTAGGCGGAAATTGAAGGTTTTTTCGAATTTTTTCAATATTTCCAGTTTCTTTTGCGCCTTGATAGTACAACCTACAGATTTCTAGTGCTTTCATACGTATTCACTGTAAATTTCAAGAGGATCGGATGAAAATTGACAAAGTTATCCCGAAATAACACAATTTTCCAAATGAAAAATATTCCATTTCACGCTTATGAGGCCTGAACGTGCGCATGGACTGTCCAGTGCACGCGCATTGGCCGTTTTGGGCCAAATCGCAATATTTTTAGGCGGAAATTGAAGGTTTTTTCGAATTTTTTCAATATTTCCAGTTTCTTTTGCGCCTTGATAGTATAACCTACAGATTTCTAGAGCTTTCATACGTATTCATCGTAAATTTCAGGAGGATCGGATGAAAATTGACAAAGTTATCGCGAAATAACACAATTTTCCAAAGGAAAAACATTCCATTTTACGCTTATGGGGCCTAAACGTGCGCATGGACTGACCAGTGCATGCGCATTG